GTTTGTCTGTCTGGCTGGCTGTTGCGTATGATAACTCTCGAAGAGAGTATCCGATTTGGTATATCGTAATATAATTGTCAAACTTAGATCGAGTTCGGAAATGAACGATATCGGTCCACTCCTTTTGGTACCTCCCACACAAAATGTTAAATTTTCAACATCTCAATAATTTTATTAACCCAAGTTCTGATCTGAACATAAAATTTACCGGTCCACTCCCTCTGGTAATTTCCACACAAAATGTCGAAATTTTCAAAATATATATTTTCTGCACAGAAAGAGAAACAATAATCCGATTTTGCTCCAACTTTGCAAATCCTAATATTTGCGTAAGTGCTAGGCCAGGTACGAAAATGGACAATTTCGGTCCACTCCATCAAATACCTTCCCCACTAAGCGTCAAAATTTTGAATAATTACAACTCTTATAAAGTGCGATGTAAGAGTCCGATTGTCTTCAAATTTCACACATCCCAATAATTTTATTAACCCAAGGTCTGGTGTTAAGATGGAATACATTGGTCCACGCTTCAGTTCTTGATCAGGTGCAAAAATGGATAATATAGCTCCGCTCCAGGAAGTGCCTCCCCCACAAAGGGTCAAAATTTTGAATAATTACAACTCTTATAAAATGTGATGTAAATGTCCGATTGTCTAAAAATTTCACACATCCTAATATTTTTATAAACGTAAGATCTGGTGTTAGGATGGAAAATATAGGTCCACTCCTTCTGGTACCTCCCCACAAAAGGTCGAAATTTTGAATATCTATTAAGCTCATAAAACGGGAAGTTAACATCCGATTGAATTTAGACTTGGCACATCTGAATATTTCTATCAACACAGGATCTGTTATAAAAACGGTAGAGATCGGATTATTCCTTCTGGTAACTCCCTCAGAAAGCGTCAAAGTTTTTAATAACGACAACGTTTTTAAAATCCTAAATAAGCATCAAGTTCTCTTAATACATCACACCTACAAACATTTTTGCTAACACAAGATCTGTTGTGAAGATGGGATATATCGGTCCTCTCCTTCTGGTACCTCCCCCACAAAGACTCATAATTTTTTAATATACATGAGCTCATAAAAATCAAAATCAACATCCGATTCCATTCCAAACTTGGTATATCTCAATATTTCCATCAACACAAAATCTGTTATAAAGATGATAGAGATCGGACTATTTCTTCAAGATTTGAAAACAATGCGAAAGAACCATCCAATTTTCTTCAAATTTTACACATAAAAACATTTTTGCTAACACAAGATCTGTTGTGAAGATCATATATATCTGCGAAGCCCTTCTGGTATCTCACCCACAATTTTCATTACTGTTATCTGTCATAACTTGAGAAATAAGTCAGCGATTAAAGAATCTAAAATAAACAAACTACAACTAAATATTTCTCTCAGCCGGAAACCTTAGGTGAATATGGAATTTATCATCTTAATCGGATAATAAATACGACCTGTACATGTCCTTCTCCATGTTACAAACAATTGCACAAAGACATAATACCCTTACTGTGTGGTGTAGGTATAAAAATTATTAAAATGATGGAGTTTTTTTTTTAAATAAATTAGTCCTAAGAACCCTCGTCTATGAGCTGCAATAGATGTATTTATGCGAAATCTTGACTCTTTAATTTTTCATGCAATAAAAGTTGAAGTCATCCAAAGTTTGAATTTGAATAAGATGCAGAAAAATCTCCTCTCGTGTAAACGCTACAGTATGCAGTAAAATAAAAATTAATTCAATTAAGAATAACCGTGCGACGCAACACAAATATTTTCTATATTTTTACAGGATTTTAAAAAAATATTTATGTGCAATTCACCTTGTCCCGCAACGTACATCCAAATGTGGAGGAAATAAACAGTCACCAATGCCAGTCAGCAATGTTATATTTTTTTGTAAGTGCTTTTGGTGACAAGTCGCATCAATGAAGCTGCATTCATCTTCTTAGCATTCCATATGGGATACTTGTCACAAACTGGATCGTAATAGAACCAGAAATGCAGTTTGGTGAAATGCATTTTCCTTTTCAACAAAGTAAACTGTACTAATGAAAACTGGTTAATTTTATTGAAATTAGAGAAAATTAGAAATTGTAACAACATTTCACTTTCAACTTTTTAATGCCATAAAATGAGGAAATAATTGCAAAAATAAATAAAAAATTAAGAAAAGCATTTACTGACCCGATTTTAGGATGAATTTGGTAATTTTTAAGGTGGTTGTGCCTATGTAATAAAAGCCCAGGAAGAGGTTCAACTATCTAGCTTAATCCTATTAGCGGAGGAATATTATGCTTCGCCAGACATTACAATTGTACCAACAGCTCTGATTATTGCCGATAATTGGGAAACAGTCATTATACTCGGATTAGCTCATCCTTGTAGAGCCATCCTTGTAAGCCAAATGTACATCAAGGCTCTACAGGAAGGTTTTTCCATAGAAGGACATTCTTAAATTGTTGGTTCAAGTAACATTTGGTATTTTGCGTTCGTAGCCGGTGAAAACCACTATCTAGCAAAAATATTAATTATTCAGAGATATAGGACAATTAAGGGAATGACCAATTTTAGGAATTTTAAGGCCACCTACTTGGCAGCATTGTAAGGAGGGTATATTAAGTTTTTCATTCCGTTTGTAACACCTCGAAATATACATGTTAGACCCCAAAAAGTATATATATATTCTTGATCAGCATAAAATTCTATGTCGATTTATCGATGTCTGTCCGTCAATCCGTCTGTCCGTCTGTGGAAATCACTCTACCTACCGAACGAAATGAAGTAGATTGATAAAATTGTACTCAAATGTATGTTATGTCTGCAGGACTTTTGGTATTGAAAATGGGCCATGTAAGTCCACGTATAGCCCCATATAATGGTACCTCCCGATATTCGGCATTTTGATGACTTTAGCGAAATTATTCGCCAGAATTGTTTCAAATTTGGTATTTGAAGTTCATAATGAATACTAGAGCCTATGACAGAAAATTGTCTGTGCATGTTCACGTCTTCGTATAGCCCCATATAACGGTGCATCCCGATATTCGGTATTTTGATGACTTTAGCGAAATTATTCACCGGAATTGTTTCAAATTTTGTATTTGAAGTTCGTAATAGATACTACAGCCTAGGACAAAAAATTGTTTGTGCAGGTCCACGTTTTATAACCCCCATGGTACCTCCCTATACCCGGTATTTTGATAATTTTAGCTACATTATCCATCGATTTTTTTTACGTTTCGCATTTGAATATTATGATAAAAGTTGCCTATGCAGGTCCACGTAGTTGCATTTTTAACGGTTTTTATTTTTTGAAAATTTCCAAATTCGTTCCAAATGGTGGAGGGTATTCGAGGCTCAGCCAGGTTGAACTTACAGCTTTTTTACTTGTTTGCTTTAATGTCATCCAATTTTGAGTAAATTGTTAGTATTTTGGAGGTTTCTGCGCCAATATCTAACAAAATCAACTTTAATTTGACATTTAGAGTTCTCTATAATGATATGTCCAATTTTGAGTTTATTTAATAGTAGAATAGGTCAGATTCCATTGATTTCATAAATTTCGGCTTGACCGGACCGGTCTTTTTTACTTGATTTAATTAAAGGTTTAAAACTAGTAAGGAAATGTCAAAAGTCAGTGATTATATGATACCCTTCTGAACCGATTTTCACTACATTTGACGGAGACATTTTTATCTTTTATACAGGATTATCAGGATTATATTGACAAAAACATATATCGGAGCCGAGTTCCTCCAAATGGAAATGTACGTCCTGAAACTCACTCCATTTTGGGCTGATATTAGCCATTATTTGCACAATAAACCTGAAATATATATATATATATATATATATATATATATATATATATATATATATATATATATATATATATATATATATATATATATATATATATATATATATATATATATATATATATATATATATATATATATATATATATATATATATATATATATATATATATATATATATATATATATATATAGTCTAGTTAGCTTTAATATTTAATGGACGGAAAGTCTTAGAAATGTTCGCAAACAAAATGGTCAAAATCTCTTAATTTCATTAAAAAATTTCGAATATTGGCAAATGAAAAAGATTTCTGAATGACAGTGGGGGGATTTATAGGGATTATGCCAAAGCCTTGCCCCATATTGACAACCAAAATTGTATGGACAATTCTGTTAATTAATGTGAATAAATAATCAACATCCTTAACATCGATCATTAATGTTGTATGATATGTCCTAAGAGTATTAGTACCAAAAAGAGAGAAGAAATAAATTTACCCTCCATTGACCCAGGTCCGTTATTTCGGAATGTTACAAATATTTTTAGGTCAAAAACTACATAATATAGACCTTTCGCTCTCCGTAGCGGTGAAGTTTTTTTACATGACCTACAGTTGGCGCGAAAAAAAATCATTTTCGCAAAACAAAAGACTTAAGCAACGAACGTCATGCCATTTACCTAAACGAAAGTAAAAGAGACTGACAACCTAAAAATACCCCCGCACACACACACAACTATTATGCTCGCTGTATATGTTTATTTATGTGAATAAATTTTGTCACAATACTTGGCGTTAACGGTTAAAAACACGACATAAAGAACTATTGTGCTGGCATACCAACAATCAATTGTTGAAAAAAGAGGTGACCTGATTGAGAATTTTCTATTTTTACAAAAAAAAAAACGCAAAACCCACACATACTTCCAATACGCCAATAAAAAAAACACAATAGCCCCAGAAGTGAGACATTGTGTTATCAGCGCCGTTTTATTAAATACCCCACAAGAGTGTGTGCATTTGCGAGTGTGTGTGTGTGTTTCTATAAGTCTGCCTTGTTTCACCATTGACACTTGGAAATCACTTTAAAATATTCATATAAAAATTTTAGTTTGCGTTGTTTATTGTTGTTGTCTTCTTCATTTCTTTTGTAGAAAGTTACCTTAGTTTTGTTGCTGCCACCGAGTGAGCTTCTGTTGTTTGTTTGTGGGTCTGTCTGACGGTTTTCTTGTTTTGGCCCGATCGACTGCCTGGCTGCCAGTTCTGTCCACTATTGAGAGTATTAATCCAAAATCACTTGTATGCTTGGGGATTCTTGTGATTTTTTTCCTCTTTTGTATTGATTAAATAAAGAAGAGTGTGTTTTTTTGTTGGCTTTCTTCCAAATATTTTCACTTTTAACGCAATTTAAATATTTCTATGGCCTTTGGGTTTTTTTTTTGTTAACATTTATGCCGAGATCATCTTTATAATTTGCATTAATGATTTAATTAACAAAATCATATTTTTTCTACATTGATTCGATATTTTTCTTCTTCTTCTTTATGTTTGTGTGTGTGTTCATTACTTCACTTCACCAAGTGATTGAAACCTATAATTATTGAGAAATGGTTTTCTTTTTTTATATCTGAATGTTTCGTTTCGTTACGTTTGGTTTTTTGCTTCTGTAATTTACTTTGATTTTCTATTTCATTACTTATTGTTTTCGTTTTGGTTTAATAGCATTTATTTATTTCAGTTTTCACACCGACTGTCTTATTAAACATTTATGGTTAAAAATTTTCTTTTTGTTTCCTCTTTCTCTGCACATAGAGATGTGTGTGTGTGTTCGTGTTGCATTGGTATGCTCCGTTAACCGTAGACCGCTATTCACGTCATTGCCAGTCTGACTCTCACCGCAAACTGATCTTTCAATGGCAACAATTTGATTATTGTCTTGGCCAAAAGCAAAGCCGAAGAGTTGTTTACATATGTTTTGAGTGGAATGGCATTGAGTCGAACTCGAACACGTTTATCTAAAAGCTCTCTTGAGCGTAAAAGATAATGAAAAGTTTGAGATATTATTGAATGTAAACTGACAAGTTTTTTTTATAGAAAAAGGAGTAAAAACTCTTGGCATATTCTATATCAGACAATGTTCCTTACGACCATAACAACTGACTTCGCGCATACAGCGCTATCTTCCAGGTAGTTTCACTGTCACTACCCTCAGTCATTTGGCTACAGAGGGTTATATCATTTGATACCACCAAAACGTGTCTCATTGAAATAACAGTTTTATACCCTAGGTCTCTTTGGACCAAATACATTTCGATCTAGGGGTGTCCTTCCGGCTGGCTGGTGCTCGAATGGAGAATCAGATTTGGTACAAACTTACCACATCGTATTATTATTAACACACTTGGATTGATTTCGAAGATGGACAGTGTTAAGTCAGGTACGAAAATGGAATATATAGGCCCAGTGCCTTAAGTACCTTCCCCATAAAGGGTAAAAATTTTGAATGATTATAAGTCTTATAAAATGTGATGTAAGAGTTCGATTGTCTTCAAATTACACACATCACGATATTTTTTATTAACCCAAGGTCTGGTGTGAAGATGAAATGTATCGTTCCACTACTTCTTGTACCTCCCCCACAAAGCGCCAAAATTTTGAATATTCATGAAGCTCATAAAACTCGAAATTAACATACGATTCCATTCAGATTTGGCACGTCTCAATATTTTCATCAACACAAGATCTGTTGTAAAGATGGTAGAGATCGGATTATTTCTTCTTGTACCTCGCCCCCAAAGGGTCAAAGTTTTGAATAACCAAAACGATCAAAAATTGGAAATAAGCATCGGGACACATTACAATATTTTTATTAACCCAAAATCTGGTGTGAAAAGGCAATATATCGGTACATTCCTTCTGGTACCTCTCCCATGCATAGGGTCAACATTTTGAATATCCATGAAGCTCATAGAACGCGAAATTAACACACTATTCCATTCAGACTTCGTACATCTTGGTATTTCCTTCAACGCAAGTTCCGTTATAAAGATAGTAGAGATCTGGCCATATTTTCCGGTACCTCCCACACGTAGGGCTTAAGACTTTGAAAAAAAAAGTTTGAATTTCCATACATACAAATATTTTTGATAACACGAGGTCTTTTGTGAAGATGTGAGATAAAAAAACTGCAACAAAGTCGAATGCCATCATTTTTACATTTTTTTTAAATTTTATTGAATGAAAGCAAAAAAATGTGGGAAATAGCATCAAATTTTAGAATAAGTTTAGATTTGTTCGAATTAGTCACCTTTGGAACGAATTATGACCTTCAAACGGCAAATGAAACCGTCACACACTACCCGAATGTTGCTCTGCGGTATTTTGGCACATTCCCGGTGAAGTGCTCCCTTGCGGTGATCGACACTTTGGTATTTTTTAGTGCCAACCTTGCTTTCGAAAATACTGCAGACACAATAGTCCAACGGATTGGTATCCGGAGATTTTGGTGGTCATTGTGCGCTGGAAATGAAGCGAGGAACCTCATTTTGTAACCATTCTTGGGTGGTGCGTGCTAAGTTCTGTTGGAATTTCCAAGGTCTGAGGCCAAAATGTTTGCGTGCCCAATTCTTTAATACATCCTCCAGAATATTTTCGCGATAATATTCTGCATTTATTCTGATGCCACGGTCAGTTAATACGAGCGGGGAGCGTCCATCGGCTGTTATGGCAGCCCACACCATCACCATGGCCGGCGCTTGAGTTCTGGTGGCCAACCGAAGGTGTACATTTTCAGCTGACCTCGTTGGTAAGTAAACACGAACATTTTGTTGATTTCTCATCAGAGAAAACCATGCGAAGCAACTCTTTAGCTCTTTCATGGCCTCACCCGAGCTCATTTTTCAATATTTGCCGAATGGAATATTGCGATATGTTCAGCTCACGAGCCATTTTCGGCCACTGCGACGCGGGTTTCGATCAAGTCGCTTCTTTACTTTTCGAACCATTTCTGGTGAAGTTTCTTCCGTCCACTTCCTTGACGTCGTCATGGTAACGAGCGATGGTAAGAGACACAAAAGATTTATTCACATTTAAATGCTGGAGTGCTCTAACGACAGCCACTTGTGGTATTCCAGGCAAATATTAAGAAATCACACTATCACGCTTGAATTCCATCACGAATAACTTCTTTTCTAGATAATTCTCAACAAAATGCTTTTGTACGATTGTAAACAATAAAAATGAGCTGTCACTGGAATAATTTTATCAGATGTCGGACGAGTGGCTTTGAAATGACAGCAGTCTGAAGTTGGTTGCAGCTTTTTCATCTCACCCTGAATATATGTTTTTATCCGATTTGGGATTTAAAGTCCCTCATACGCGTAATTTTAATTTAAATTTGAATTTTGTCGAGATTGGTTCAGATTTGGATATAGCTCCCATACATATCTTCAACCGATTTCGGGTTAATTGTGTACAAAATGGCCAATATATGTGAAAAATTCCTTAATTTTGGTACAACTGACGAAATTTAGTCTAGAAGCAAGTGTATTAAATTTGGTGTAAATCGGTTCAGATATAGCTATAGCTTCCATACATATGTTTTATCCGATTTGTGATTTAAAATCCCTCACAAACGTAATATGCACTCCACAACAATGATCTTTGGTACCAGATATCAGATACAGCCCTGAAATAAGTGTATCAAATTTTATCAAAATCGGTTCAGATTTGGACATAGCACCCATAGATATCCTTAAGAGATTTCAGTTTAAATGTGCACCAAATAGCCAATATCAGTCCAAGTGACATGAATTTTTTCATATCCGACCGAATTTAGTCTAGAAGCAAGCATATCGAATTCGGTGAACATCGGTTTAGATATTGAAATAGCTCCTATATATATGTTTCATCCGATTTGGTGTTTAAGCCCTCAAATTCGTAATATACATTCGACATCAAAACCAGAAATACCTCTGCTAAATTTAATCAAGATCGGTTCAGGTTTTGATATAGGTCCCACACATATCTTCAACCGATTTCTTATTAAATGTGCACCAAATGGCCAATATCCTTCAAAAAGTCCTGAATTTAGGTACATCCGAAGAAATTCAATCTAGAAGAAATAGAGCAAATTTGGAAAATATTGTACCAGATATAGCTATAGCTTGCATATGCATTCGACAACAATGATATCTGGTACCAGATATCGGAAATACACTTGCCAAATTTTATCGAAAACGGCTAAGATTTTGATATAGCTCCCATCCGATTTTCAGTGTATTGTGCAAATAATGGCTAATACCTGCTTAAGTGGAGTGAATTTCGGGACGTACGTTTCCATTTGGTGGAACTCGGCTCCGATATATATGTTTTTAAATATGTAGGTGTATGTATAGTCAGCCCCGCCCGACTTTTGACTTTTCCGTACTGTTTTCTTTTTATTTATTATTATTTCAGTTGGTCACAAATTACATCCAATAAGTTTGTCTTCCACCATTATTTTATGTTTGCACCCTACATCATCATATTTTACAAAAGCTCTATCTCTCCTATTCAATACAAAGAATATCCATAGATATCTACGTGCATAAAAACAATATGTGGATATTGTTAATAAAGTTCCGATTCTGCTATTAAATATTCGGAAGTATGGAAAATACATTTTGAAATCAAATATTTTAATATGATAATTGTTCGGTTTCTATTGCGACTAATAAAACAAACGATACATTTATAGCTTTTGGGGTGAATGGAATTAAGAGTTTGCAAACAATTCATCATTCACAGAAATTTGCATTGAATTGTCAAAGATTCTCCTAAAAAAATTAACAAATCCATTGATGAAGTTTTGAATTTTAAATGAATACATTAAACATATAAAAACCTTTGATCGTATATCGAATCTATATCACAAACAGTTTCATAGTTCTGCAGTGAACAAGTAAAACAAAAACTAAACTCTTTTGCAAAAATGGTAATATTTTCAAAGTTTGCCAAACATTTTTTTCGCAATTATAAAAAACGTAAATTTTTGTGATTTAATTTTTAGAAATTCATCATTTTGTCCTTGGCTTTGTTGGGCTGTGTTTTGGCCGATGTCTCCGAATTGGGTGGCTACGATTATCATGCTCCAGCTGCCACGGAGGTACATGGTGATTTTGGTGGTGAAGCTGGTTACAGCAGTTCCGTGCCTGTAGCCGCCGCTCCTGCAAACACCTACATTCCCCCAGCTGCCTCTGCTCCAGCCAGCACTTATATTCCACCAGCTGCTCCCGCCCCTGCCCCATCGGCTCCTGTCAACACCTACATTCCTCCAGCTGCTTCTGCCCCCGCCAACACTTACATTCCACCTGCCGCCTCTGCCCCAGCTCCATCTGTCGAAGTTGCTGAAGATGGCTACCGTTACAAGACTTTGCGTCGTCGTGTCTACCGTCAACGTGTTTAAATAGAAGGAATTTGTTAGAAAACTGTTTTTTGTTAATAAAGTTAAATTGTTATAAGTAAAATAAATTGTTGATTCTCTCCTAATGCAAATTCTGGGAAAAAATCGAAAGAATGCCGGTTCGTTGCAAATGAACTTTATTTCAAACTTTTGTCGGGGTAGGTTTGCGATGAACTACGCCGATTTTCACCATTTTACTCAGTTTACCAGAAAAAATAGACTGATATATCCAATTTTTACTTTTACATTATTCACCGTTTATTTCAAGTTTCAAGTTTCGAATTTGAATATTGTAATGGCTTATGACAAGCAAAGCCTATGTAGGTTCACGTCGTAGGGACGTATATCGGCAAAATTCGGTATTTTTAAGATTTTAACAGAAATTTTAACGGATTTAATTTTTTTAAAAAATTTCCAAATTCGTTCCAAATGGTGGAGGGTATTCAAAGCTCGGCCCGGCCGAACTTACTGTTTTTTAACTTGTTTTTTTTTTTTAAGTTCCGAATTTGAATATTGTAATGGCGTATGACAAATGTTATGCAGGTCCATGTTGTCGTATAGACCCTAATATAACAGCTACATTCGGTATTTTTACGATTTTAACAGAACTTTTAACGGATTTTATTGTTTTTGAGAATTGCCAAATTCGTTCCAAATTATGGAGGATATTCAAAGTTCGGCCCGACCGAACTTACAGCTTTTTTACTTGTTAGTACTCAAAAGTACAATTTATTCAAGTTGATAAAAAAGTTTAATCAATACCTAATACATCGAACCAGTTTTTTAGAACTTCAAGGTTATCCTCCTTCGGAAGGAATAATAGGAAAATGTTCACCCTTTACACCAAACACTTTTCACATCTTCAAAAAATCTTCCATTTTAAAGTTTACCGAGGAGGTTATTAGTAAAACCATTGCACCATGGACCCACATCAAATTATTCTGTCCCAAACTATTTTAACATCTCCGTTTATAAAGCCTAGAAACCCACAACGACCCCAATAACAAATTTCAGCTAATATCAAATATTCTTACAATTATGGTACACATTTCAAAAACCTTAATCCCAGATACCAACAGAGACCTCAATATCAAAATTCGGCATATCAGCACTATCCCTTTAGCCAATGCCCAATTTAGTACAACTTAGTATTTTTGGAACCATTAAAGTACACATTTCCAAAACACAAACAAACACGGATACCATTAGTAATCTAAATATCAAATTTTCGGAATTTTATCTCGATAGTACCAAATTTAGTACCATTTAACGGAAACCACCTCAATATTCCAGGCTACACATAGACAGCGACCCATATCCAATTTTTCTTTCCAAAACCAAAAGTGACCTCAATATCAAATTTCAGCTCGATCCCTTCACCCAATACCAAGTTTGGTACTGTTAGTACACATCTCAATCCCAGATGCCCACAGAGACATCAATATCAAATTTCGTCATTTCAGCTCTATCTCTTCAACCAATACCCAATTTCGTACCACTTAGTACATTTCGAACAATCCTAGTACACATTTCCAAAACCAGCTCCATATCTTAACCACAGATACCAAACGTGACAACTATATCAAATTATAGGATTTCAGCTCTATTCTTTCACCTGATAGCAAATTTAGTACCATTTAGTGCATTTCGTACAATTATTGTGCACATATCCAAAACAACCTCCATATGTGCAGACCACACATGAACAGTCACCCACATCCAATTTTTCTTTCCAAAACCAACAGTGGCCTCAATATTAAATTTCAGAATTTCCGATCTATCCCTTCACTCGATACAAAATGTAGTACTTTTCGTACAATTATAGTACACATTTCCAAAATCATCCCCACATCTCAAACCAATATACCAACAGAGACTCCAATATCAAATTTGAGGATTCCAGTCGTAATTCTTTGCCTCATATCACATTTAGTACTGGTAAGTACTTTCCATACTAATATAGGACACATTTTCAAACCTTCGCCAAATTTCAAACACAGATACCATTAGTAACGTAAATATCAAATTTTCAGAATTTTATCTCCATACCTTCACCCAATACCAAATTTAGTGCCATTTTGTACTTTTCGTACAATTATTGTACACATTTCCGAAACCACCTCAATACGGTCAGTCTACACATGAACAGCGACTCACATCCAATTTTTCTTTCAAAACCGACTGTGACCTCAATATCAAATTTTCAGAATTTTATCTCTATACCTTCACCCAATATCTAATTTAGTACTATTTAGTACTTTTCGTACAAATATAGTACCATTTAAAACCCACCTCCACATCTCAATTCCATATCACATCAGAGACTCCAATATCAAATTTGAGGTTTCCAATTTTAATCCTTCACCCAATAAAAAATTTAGTAACATGTAGTACTTTTAGAATAGGACGCATTTCCAAACCTCCGCCAAATCTCAAACGCAGATATCGTCAGTAATCTTAATATTAAATTTTACAATTTTATCTACATCCCTTCACCCAATACTAAATATAGTAACATTCAGTACTTTCCGTACAGTTATAGTACACACATTTCCGAAACCAACTCCATACGTCCAGGCTACACATAAACAGGGACCCCAAACTAAATTTTAAATTGCCAGCACTATCTGTTCACCGAATACCAAATTGTACCAACTATTGTATTATTTAGTACTTTTCGTGCACTCGTAGTCCACGTTTCCAAGACCACATCTTTATCACAAACCTACCACGAAAAGAGCCCCAATGCAAAAATTTAAAAATTCCAGCTTCATCCATTCACCCTTATCCAAATTTAATTTAACAAATTAAGTACAATTTAGTAGAGTTCGCAAACCTGATTTTCATACCAAATTTCAAGTTTTTAGCTCTCACATAACAACAAATGGTACCATTTTAGAAGTTTAGTTCCATTATGGGACTTTTCGTAACCTTAAAATTGAAATACCCAAAATCCCTAGTTACATGTATCATGCACTTCATTAGTGACCCTCATTCCAAATGTTCCGAATTCTAGCTTATTCCGTTGTACAATACAGAGTACTCAATTTTTAATGCATATTGTACTTTTCGTACCATTTTAATACGAATTTTCAAAAACCCAGCCTAATCACATACCTACACATCAAGACTGACCCTCGTGCTTCAGCCGTTTCGTCTGGGAGTCAGTTATTTCACATCTCTTATATATAGATTGTCATTCCGTTTTAAACAACTCCATATATTCGTCGTGGACTCCAGAAAGTGAAATGAAACCAGTAAGGAATGCTCAAAAGTCGGGCGGGGCCGACTATATGATACCCTACACCACTATGCATATTTAGTAGAGCTCTCGTAAAATGGTTAATACAGGGCATTTCAGAGCTCTTTGAGATATTTGGTACAAAATCAAAATCTATCTAATTCTATCGTGCATTTTACGAACTATAGCTATCTCTGAACCGGGTTTCTCCAAATTTGACGTATTAGCTTCTAGACTGAATTCGGTCCGATGTACTAAAATTCAATCCATTTGGACTTATATCGGCCATTTGGTGCACTATTAACCCGAAATCGAATGAAGATATATATGGGAGGCATATCCAAATCTGAACCGATTTCGATAAAATTACAAGCAGATATTTCTGGGCTGTATCTTATATCTGGTACCAAATATCATTCTTGTGGAGTGCATATTACGAATGTGAGAGGTTAAAACACCAAATCGGATAAAACATATATATAGGAGCTATAGCTGTTTCTGAACCGATTTTCTCTAAATTTGTTGTATTTGCTTTAAGGCTAATCTCGGTCACATGTGCCAAAATTCGGGCCATTTGGTGGTCAATTAACTCGAAATCGGATGAAGATATATATGGGAGCTATATCCAAATCTGAACCGATTTCGATAAAATTTAAAACAGCTATTTCTGTGCTCCATCTAGTACCAGGTACCAAATATCACGGTTGTGGAGTACATAGTAGGAGTGTGAGGGACTTAAAGATCAAATCGGATGAAAGATATATATGGGAGCTATAGCTATATCTGAACCGATTTTCTCCAAATTTGATATACTTGCTTCTAGGCCGAACTCGGTTGGGTGTGCCAAAATTCAGGTAATTTGGACTGATAGTGGACATTTGGTGCACATTTAACCCGAAATCGGATGAAGATATACATGGGAGCTATATCTAGAGTTGATCCGATTCTCACCAATAGGGTTCGTCCTTGGGCAAAAAAAATATTGTTTGGAAAATTTCATCTCAATCGGATAATAAATGCGACCTGCATTTTGTTCACAAGAATACATGGACAGATGGACGGGCGGACGGACCCGACGTCAAGGAAGTGGACGGAAGAAAACAGCAACATCAGGAGAAATGGTTCGAAAAGTAAAGAAGCGACTTGATCGAAACCCTCGTTGTAGTGGCCGAAAAATGGCTCGTGACCTGAACATATCGCAATATTCCATTCTGCAAATATTGAAAAATGAGCTTGAGGTACAGCCATTGACTTTCCAAAAAGTGCAAGAACTTACACCGCAACGAAAAGAAAATAGACTCAAAAAAGCTAAAGAGTTGCTTCGCTTGGCCGAATGTGATGAACTACCGAATTTGGGTTTCTCCGATGAGAAAACATTCGTTGTCCAGCAGTCTGTAAGGTTGACACTAATTAATACCAAAGTATCGATCACCTCAAGCAAGCTCTTCGCCGGGAATGGGCCAAAATGCAGCATAGCAACATTCGGGCAGAGTATGGAAGTTTCATTGGCCGTTTGAAGGCCCCCATTTATGCCAAAGGTGACCAATTCGAACAAATTTAAACTTATTCTAAAATTTGATGCTATTTCCGATATTTTTTGCTTTCGTTCAATAAAATTAAAAAAAAAAAATGTAAAAATTATAGCGTTTGACTTTGTTGCAGTTTTTTGTGTACCCCATAAAGCATTTATTCATGACCAGCGTAAGAGTCGAAAAGTCGTCCTTTCGTTTGTCAGTCTATTGAAATCAAGATTTATAGATTT